GTTTAGTCTTGGTTTAGACCTGGTTCAGTCCTGGTTTAGACCTGGTTTAGACCTGGTTTAGACCTGGTTTAGTCCTGGTTCAGTCCTGGTTTAGTCCTGGTTCAGTTCTGGTTTAGTCCTGGTTTAGACCTGGTTTAGTCCTGGTTTAGTTCTGGTTTAGACCTGGTTTAGACCTGGTTTAGTCCTGGTTTAGTCCTGGTTCAGTCCTGGTTTAGTCCTGGTTCAGTTCTGGTTTAGTCCTGGTTTAGACCTGGTTTAGACCTGGTTTAGTCCTGGTTTAGTCCTGGTTTAGACCTGGTTTAGTCCTGGTTTAGTCCTGGTTCAGTCCTGGTTTAGTCCTGGTTCAGTTCTGGTTTAGTCCTGGTTTAGTCCTGGTTCAGTTCTGGTTTAGTCCTGGTTTAGTCCTGGTTCAATTCTGGTTCAGTCCTGGTTTAGTCTTGGTTTATTCCTGGTTTAGTCCTGGTTCAGTTCTGGTTTAGTCCTGGTTCAGTTCTGGTTTAGTCCTGATTCAGTTCTGGTTTAGTCCTGGTTCAGTTCTGGTATACACCTGGTTTAGTCTTGGTTTAGACCTGGTTTAGTCCTGGTTTGGACCTGGTTCAGTTCTGGTTCAGTCCTGGTTTAGACCTGGTTCAGTTCTGGTTTAGTCCTGGTTTAGACCTGGTTTAGACCTGGTTTAGTCCTGGTTTAGACCTGGTTTAGACCTGGTTTAGTCCTGGTTCAGTCCTGGTTCAGTCCATATATGGTGCAAAAGTTCAGCATCTTAACAGTTCTTTTGGTGAGAGTAAATTAACAAATGACTTAGAAATGACAGTAACAAGTCATAAATAAAACATTACAGTTTTAAAGTCACTTGTCCAACAGTGGATCTTGTAAAGTTGTTGTAAACTAGAAGTCAGTTTGAAAAATAAAAGCAGCCTTTCATTTACAGAGCTCATCTAAATATAAAATGAACTGAACTTTGAACTAGTTCGAAATTAAAATTGTGAACTTGCACAACACTGGTCCTATGCCACCCTTGATGATCGGGCCTAAAGCCGCAAGCGACGTCGAACGCCACAAATGCCTCTCCCACACGACCACCCTGGCACGTTATTGTCCCTTCCTGAGAGCCTCCACACGCTGCTCTCAGTGGCTTTGGGACCCTGGACCCTGTGACTCACCACAATAACAAACAAGTCTGACCTCCCTATAACTGTACCATCAGCTGTCGTGTGTTCATCGTGAGCAGGTGACTGCAGCTTGTGACCCATTGGATACTGTACGACACTCACGCAAAGAGGAGCTGAAATTCAGCCCAATTATAAAATTGTTGTGGGGCTAAAATTTGTGTCAAATTCGGCCTGAACAAGGAGTATTAAAATCAATACAAAAACTAACCTCACAACTTTTAAAAACACCGTGGAGCACCTGTATTACAATACTGTGGCAGTTGAGGGGTCAACAATTTGAATAGTTGAAGTGTTGTTTTGTGAAGTGTGGGAGGAGATTGGAAATTGGAAAGTTTTGCTTCATCCATCCCCTTTTCAAACATGTTTGTATTTGTGTCTGTACTGTTATATTGTCATGACAATTGTATGTGCAGGTTTGGGGGAAAAAAAATTCAATTTCAATTTCAGCTCTTCTGTGCGTCAGTGTCGTATCCAAGGGGTCATGAGCTGCAGTCACCAGCTCATCATGAACACAAGACAGCTGCTTGTGCAGTTATAGGGAGGTCAGACATGTTTGATAAGGGTGAGTCACAGGGTCCAGTGTAAGTCCAGCTTTACTTGGAAGGTTTGTTTGCTTTTACTGTCTTTTTCTACAGGGTCATATAAGAAGGAATGTTAAAATCAATACAAGAACTGACTTCACAATCATAATAAGTTTTTGCTGGTTTGATACAATCAAGGAACAAGGAAGAATACAAAAAAGATTAAAATAGTTATGCATTAGGGTATGACTCACCTTGAAGGAGGAAAAACAACATGCAGGTTCATCTAGAAGCCAGAACAGCCAGTTTATAACCAAAAGTAAATAGCTTTTGTGAGGAGGAGGAAGCAGATTTCATTGTTTATACAGTTAGTGAAATGTGAGCCAACAGCTCAACATGTACACCGTAAAAAAACAAAAAACAAAACAGTGTGTACAGCAATTCCCAGACCCAAAAGCATGATTTTATTTATTCACACAATTGTCCAACACAATTCACTTGAAAAAGTCAAATGAAAAACTACAAACTTTCCTAAAATGAAATTAAAGATTTTTCCAGGTTAGTGGAAGTTGGTAAAATGACCCATCTGCAGGTTTTGAATTAGACTTGGTCACATCAGTACCTTCTGGTGACGTGTGATTGATATCTTTGTATAAACCCCATGCTGAGAGACAGAAGCAGACAGGTTCCACACAGGAGCTGAAAACCTTTTTGCCCTGAACTGTGAGTGCTATCTATGGACAAGAACTGACTAATGTCCCTTTCATATAGGTTCAAGGACTCTCACTGAATGCGACTGGGGCAGTGTTGCCAGATGTATAATTATCATTGTATTTGTGCAAAAATTTAGACCCCATAAAGGCTCCATAAAGGCTTAAATCTACAATGTCAGAGTACCAGATAAAGTATTGTTTAGTGATACTTCCTTTCTGTTTCCTTAATCTCAGTTAACATAAATGAAAGTTTAGATACTGGCTCTTCTGAACTCTACATTAATCCCGCCCCCTGTCCCTCTCAGAGCACAGAAGAAAAGAAGCCTTGTAATTTCAAAAGCCGTCACTTCTGGATCTTCACAAAAATGAGAATTACAGCTGCCCCAACCACAACTACAGCAATTATAACAACAAATATAACCACAGGCAACAATGATCGACCCTCGCTTATGCCTATGCCGCACCCGGGCCACGCTGTGCCCTGCACACACGCACCGTGCCCCACAAACGCACCATGCCCCTAGCACTAACTCCTGAATTAACCATAACCCCTAACACTAACCCCTAATCCTACCTGAATTCCTAACTCTAGCCCTTACTGTAGCCCTAACCCTAAATCCTAATATAGTCCTAGCCCCAACTCTATTCCTAACTCTAGCCCCAACCCTAACCCAAGATGGCAACCTTTGAAAAAGCTTTTACCAACTTTTAATGTCCCACTTGGACAGTATAAGTATCATCCGGCATGGTGTTTTGCGAGTCACCTCGGTTCATAATTCCCGATGCATTGAACAGGTCAGAAAACAAAGAAGCAGTCATAGAGTTCATTGTGTGCACTCGGCGCACTGGGGTGCACAGAGTAACCACACTTTGGGGCAGTGTTATAGAGAAGAACACGGCAAAGTGGTTCAAAAAATGCCTTTTACAAATTTCCATTAGATTTACATTAAGACCAAATGACAATACCAAGTTCAGTGTGTGTCCTTTTACGTGTGTTGAGCCCGACACAGACTGGGTTAAGATAAATGAATCAATCATATTTAAAAAGTTTTTCTCCAGAGGTCTGGATTCACAACAAACGTGAATATTAAAATCCCCAACAATCAAAAACTGGTCATAGCGCAGTAATAGGCCAGTCAAGAGATCTGTGAAGTCCTGAATCAAATCTTTATTGAACTTTGGAGGGCGATACACCAAAAGGCACAGAACCAGGGTGTCAAGGCTTTATATGCAAATCTAAAGCTCAAAGCTCAAAAACGGATCAACTGGAATCTGCCGACAGACGTAGCTGGATTTGCGCGCTGTTGCTAGCCCCCCACCTCTGCCAGAAATCCAAGGAGAGTTCAGATAGAAACAGTTGGATGGTACAACATAAAATCCAGATTCTGCAAAGTGAAGAGATCATTCAGGAGAAATGTTTTATTAACTAGCAATCTCGCATTCAAAAGGCCCAAGAGGAGAGTCACATCCTCAGGACTCCGTGTAGAACTACTTCGCAGCAACCAAAGGCAGCTCAATTCCACACCGCGGCGTTTGGCTAGATGCTTGTGGAGAGGCACTACTAGTGGCAGGTGATGCAGGCCAGTGTCTAGGCACGCAGGAGTCACAGACTGGATCCACCCTAGTCCGTGTGATCTTTGAAGTGCTGGGTTTCCAGGAGTGGTAAGGAGAGAAATAATTCCAGAATTGGCTCTCCAGTAAGCCTTCACTCTCACTAAGATGCTGCTGCGTTTTCAGCGCTCTCTGGGCCACGGAGACAGGTGAGAGCAGCAGGTAGACCAGGACTGACGCCAAGTGAGGAAGGAAACAGGATGCTTGATCCTCAAAATTGTGATTAAGAAACAGTTCATGAGACGCTTCAGATCAATAAGTGGCTGGCGATCGTAGACCAGCAGTCCAGAGATATCTTGGCACATAATACAGACTAATGCCACAACAAAGAACAAATTTAACAGAGCAGGTAGACGACTGCCAGTACACGCTGGGCACATCTTGCCTTTCTAATTTTGCTAATAATTTGAGCAAAAACAATATATCTGTTCACATGGGAACAGCATATGATATGTTTTTAAAGCTCTCAACCTTCCCCATTCATTCATTGGTGAATCTCGTGGCGTGAGTTACTGGGATACTGCTGTTCAAAGCTGCACCACGTCCTCTCGCCCATGCGCTCATCACAGTGAATGCAATAGGCCCTACTCCCTGTTGATTAGATTATTTTACCAGTGGATGGAAGATGTGGAATGTAGAAAGCCACTCCTTAAGTGGTGGCATGTGACAAGTTCATTATCAATAAACAAATAGCTAATGCTCAAAACAAAACAAGTGTGACAGTTTGAAAAGTTATGAGGTGTCCAATTCCAAACCACACCTTTGAATAACTCACCTTACCAATACGACATTATTTGAGAGTTTGACATTTTATAATAGTCTTGAAATGTGATACCTGACTTACAGATAAAAGGTGTGCACTGTCGATACGCCCCCGCTGATCGATCACCACCACCTTAAAACAGCGTGCAGACAGAACGCAGCTACAGTCCTGATACTGCGAACAAATCAGAGACATGGAGTCTGACAAAAAGTGTGGAGGCATCGAAGGATCCCCAACCTGCAGACGCAAGAGGTGCAGGACCATCTGTGACTCTGTAAGTATCACACACACTTAAAGCTACACTCTGGAACTTTTCTGGTGAGCAATGCTTGTTTATGTTTTTTTTTTTTTTTTTTTTTTTTTTTTATGGTTTTGTTTTTTATTGCTTAAAAAAAAAGCCTTGAAAAGCATGTATTCTTATCTTGAGTGGGATCACCTCTCCACAGATGTGGCTTGTAACTTGTGTTTCTCAAAGCCTTGCCTTGGTCTATTCTGGGTGTGGCAGGGCATCCAGCTCATCCAAGTTGTGTTCTAATGTCATGTCCTCTGTTTGGTTAGTATTTTACTAAGAATACATCATATTGTGTACGTTTATTTACTTCACATTATATTCAAATTATGAATATATTTAGTTGCAATTATATATTTTTTTTGTTGTCCACACAAGGAGATTTTTTTATTTTCATTTTTTTGCTGTTGCTGTTGGTTCACTCTGAAGTGTGTTTCATGAGTCGTGTGCTTGGATTAGAAAGAACCCACGACCAAAACTGGGCACGAAGCTTTGAGAAACACCTTTGGTCTTGGGCGTGACCCGCTCACCTCCATGGAGAAAAATACATGTAATGTCATACTGTGGAACATTCACAGTAAAGGGCGCTGTACCTGATTGTCTTCAAATCCAAAACAGAACTATATATTTTTTTATAATACATCACTTTTCCTCCTTCAAAGCTCTCAAAGTGCTTTACAACAAGGAACCACTCACACATTCATACACCAGTGTACATAGACACTGTGGGCAAGGTAGGTTAAGTGTCTTGCCCAAGGACACAACGACAGCTTCCTGAGAGCAGGATTCAAACTCCCAATGTTCAGAACAGTGGACAAACACTTTACCAACTGGTCCAAAGTTACTCCTCACTGACCTGATGCATTCTGAACATCCTAATGATTCACCATGATGACTTTATAAGCCATTATAAATAATGCCTGAAGGACTAGCAATATAACAGCACACTTCCTGATTCTCTGACAATAAAACACTTTATAATGGGATGCAGACAGTACACAGTGGAATTATTTTGACCTCAAGAGCTGCTTATACACAATGTGTCTGTAGTGAGGCAAGAATTGAACTCTTCTAAACAGAAAAGCACCAGGTCAGATCTGTGGAGAGGGGCCTATAAAAAGGTCCTGTATTACAGAAAATGGATTCTTGAGTTTTTACACATGTTATAATGTTACCTCATCGTCTACATCTCCAAAGCTCAAAATGCTCTGTTCCACCTTGTGATGTCATGAAGTAGTAGTTTTCAAGTGAACAGCTCCTTTTACTTTTAGTTCAGTAGAGATCGACAATTCCACGACTGAAATCATCCAAATGATTCTAGTGAAGTTGTGGAAAACACAGTGGAGCACTTCCTGTATTATCAGAGGCATCACAAGGTGGAACAGAGTTTTCTGTTTGAGAAAAATTCACACAAATATGTCTGATTTGTGTTAAACATGTGTAAAAAAAAAAAAAAGAAAACACAACTCTGAGGATGTTTTCATGAGGAAATATTATTATAACAGAAAAATTGTGTCATATAGATGTTTAATGCAATACTGTGGAACATTTCAGGCAAACTAACTTATCCATGGAGACAAGTAAGTGTCATAAAAAATGACCTTCTGTATTATGAGTGAATCTTGTGCTGTTGTTCAGGTGAAGAGTGAAGTGGAGAAGCTCACAGGAGAGAATTATAAGATTTTCAGAGCCTTATCCTACAAGAAACAACTTGTAGCTGGAATGAACTACTTCATCGAGGTCAGTTCCTATAATTGTTTTATTTTTTATTAACCCAAAGACAATATTCAGATGATGTTTTGACAATAAGAATCCTAAAGATTAGAACTATCACCCTCATGTGTAATTAGCACAGGTACTACCCCAGCAAACAAAGTCATGATTAGACTTTAAGCTCCTATAGAGTTGTTCAGTGTCATGTCACTTCCTGGTTCATCAGTTGATTGAAAACAATGATGTTTACAATTTCCTCTCTTTTTTAAGCGACAGCACGTGTCACGTTAAAAACATATTTCAGTTGTTTGAAGCCAACAAGTTTATAAGCACAGATCTACGGTTATAACATGAAAGTTTAATAAGAATTGGAAGATGAGCCAAATCTCCCAAAATATATATTTTCTTCTTCATTTCCTACTAGCTCCTCCCACCTGTGTGATGTCAGAAACATGCACCGTGTGACCAGTTCTGACCAATCAGAGTGAGAGCTTAGAGAGGGGCTACACTAAATCTTACAAAGCAAACTTTTAGGCACTTTGACCGTTTAAAAATGTGAAAACATTTTCTCTTGTTTGATGAATAAGGAACAAAACCAAAGCTAGAAATCAGCTGTGAAGTTTCTTGTTGGACTTGGAAGTGACATCCTCTTTTAACAGCTCTATATGACTCTATGGGAGATTCACTGACATTAGAATAAATATTCCAAATTATGATCCACAAATGTTGAACTTTGTCATTATTTGTTTGTTATTTGGCTCCACAAACTTGTCATGTTAATCTCCTGATTTAAAGTCCTCTCAAATGACAAGAGTCACGTCTTTGGGGTTGAATAATGGTGACACTCTCTGACCCTCCTTCAATCTTCTGTTTCTTTAGGTCTTCATTGGGGGGGACAAATATCTGGAGGTGGATGTGTTTGTGGGGCTGCCTCACATCAGCACTGGACCAGTCGTCACCGGTGTAGGGAGATCAAGAAAGAAAGAGTCTGAGCATCTAAATACTGCACCAACTTGATTCTATATAAGTTTATAATCTGATACCAAATCAATGATGTCATATGTTTCATATAAACAGTTATGGTGCACACTTCACTAATCTCCTGTGGTTTTGTCTCATTTGTTCTTATCTACTTCTTGTAATAAGTGTTACATCAATATTCTTCAATATTCTATGGTGATGACACACCTGATTGGTCTGTTATTAATGTTCATATCTTGATTTAAAAGTCCTGTGTTACACTAAATTAACTCTTGTGACCTTAAACCATGTTAAAATGTTACCTCCTGATAAACAGATGTGGACTTTTTGGATTGTTTCATTCACACATGTTTGAGTGTCCAGCCTGTCTGCATCCCCAAAGCTCAAAATGCTCTGTTTCACCTTGTGATGTCATGAAGTGGTAGTTTTCATGTTATCAGCTCCTTTTACCTTTAGTTCAGTAGAGATTGACAGTTCCAGGGCTGAATGTATCCAAATGATTCTAGTCAAGGTGTCTGGAGTTTAAAAACACAATGGAGCACTTCCTGTATTCCACATGACATCACAGGGTGGAACAGAGTGTTTTCTGTCACAGGTTCAGACAGAAGTGAGAAGAAGCAGTCCAGAAAAAAAAAAGGTCAAGGACAGACAACAGAAGGAGCTCCCCCTTACCCCTTAGCCCCTCCCCCTGATCTAATCAGTTCACTTCACTCTGGGTTTTTCAGGTTTAACACTGTACTCATGAACATAAAGCAAACTGTAAACCACCATAATAAAAATACTGTAATAACCTCCCATGTGTCTATCATTTATTAATGATGAACTTAAGAAAACAGAATAAACACACAAATGCCAAGAAGTATTTATGGCACGATCAGGAAGTGCTCCGGTTTGGCCCCTGAACCAGAGAGCAGCATGGAGACAGCAGAAGGTAAGGAGCATGTGGTGTGTGTGGTGAGTGTGCACCCTGAAAAGCACCAGTGGGAAACAGTTTGAGGGGTTACAGGACCACAGGACACATAAGAAGTCCTGCAGGGAAATGATCTACCAGAGAAGTGGCGGTTCTAGGATTTTTCTGAAACAGGGGCCATTAAGGGGCCACATGTTACATTCAGGGGCCAAGTACAGGGAACAACCAACACACAAATGATTCATTCAGTACAGTGCAAATACAAGCAGAGACAGTAAAAAAACACCCTCTACAAGTCTGTTTCTTCTCCCATTAAGTTGTATTGACAATAGGTCGACTGCCGCCAAGAGTTTGGGGGTGGAATTACATCACTGATCATTGAATTCTTCGGTTCTTCTCGTCAGTTGATTGACAGAACAGTTAAAAGTCGGGTCCAAAACTCAGCAGCTCAACTTTTAACTAGAACCTATAAACACGAGAGCATCTCACCTATTTTAGCCTCTCTCCGTCTTTTAGGCTACGTTCAGACAGCAGGGCTTAAAGGGATAGTTCAAGTTTTTTTGACATGAATCTGTATGTCATCCCCGTCAGCAGTGTTGTGCGTCCACACTGACTTACCCCCGACAGCGTCCGGTGAGCCGAGATACTGCCCGTTTTCGGTGCTGATGAAAGTAGTCTGACAAGTTGGCTGGGGACATGAAAATAAAGCGTTTTTCTTCTCAAAACAATATGTGATCAAAAGAGTGATATGTTTGCATCACAAAACCATTGTCCTCAAAAAAGTCAGACCTCATAATCGCTTGGCACTATTTTCTCTCCGTTCGTATCACTGCTGGTTCACTTTGTTTACTGCTCGGAAAGTTGGCGACAAGAACATGTCTGATTATGACACAGACTATGAAGACTTTGCCTTTAGCACAAAGTCAAGGGGAGATCTTTATGAACCCGAATATACTGATGCTGAAATTCACCAGATGGAGTTAGAACGAGCAGAGAGAGAAGAGAGACAGAGAAGTGGTACAAGTTCGAAGCTGGAGCCGTGAGAGACCGAGTGAGCGACAATCACCATCACGTCATTTATAAACTCGTATACAGTGAACATAGAGCCGACACTGTGACTGAAGCATGGACGACTAATAGAAACATGAATCATCCACACGTCCACGTAGCTGCTGCCAATAGTGTACGAGACATTTACAATAGTAATAACAGTCGACTTATAAAGTTATGTTTTGTAGAAGCTTCACTGGTGATATGACACTGAGTGATTTACTGCACACAGAGTTACAGCTGATTCTTGACTCTGTTCTCTTGTAAACACAGCTCTTGTAAACATTCTCTTTGTTCTTACCTGGGTGCAGGTACAGCAGTGCTCTTCTAAACAGATTACTTCCTTTGTCCTGGGCATGAAGGAACATATCTTCGCCGTTGAATTGCGCACTGCACACATGAAGCTTTTTTTTCTTTGGTTTCTACACTGAAGCCTAAGGCAAGAAGCCAATGTCGCCTCAGAGCAATGTCCGTGACAGAAAAACAGTGAAATGTGTAATCACAAGTTCACACCATTTGCTAGATAAATTCTTAAATAGATTATACAAGCTTATATATTTATGGCTCTAGCTCTCACGTTAGCTCTCTCACATTGCGGCGGTCTGAGCACATAAACACTGCCAAACAACTGAAGAAAGTAACCGGCTGTCACCTGGCGGCAGTGTGCAGTGATACAAAAGGAGAGAAAATAGTGTCAAGCGATTATGAGGTCTGACTTTTTTGAGGACGAATGTTTTGTGATGCAAATGTATCACTCTTTTGAACACAGATTGTTTTGAGAAGAAAAGTGCTTTATTATACAGTCCCCAGTCAACTTGTCAGACTACTTTCGTCAGCACCAAAACCGGCCAGGATCTCGGCTCACCGGACGCTGTCGGGGGTAAGTCAGTGTGGATGCACGACACTGCTGACGGGATGACATAGAGAATTATGTCAAAAAAACCCAAACTATCCCTCTAACGCTCAATTCAGATTGTTTTTGTGAAATCCGATGTTTTTGCGAGGTCGTTCACATTTTCAATTAAATGTGACTTGTATCTCCAGTGTGAACATTAAACGGCCCGAAAGTGTCCCACATGTGCACTGGACACGATGACGTCAACCACAGCGAGCGTCTCTGTGTTTACAGAAGTTGTCCAAACATGGATGTGAGCATTGAGCACCTGGAGATTGTTAAAGTTCCTCTCGTACCAGAGCCAGAACATGAACAACTTACTTGTTTTAAGGAGGAGATTGAGAAGGAGAAGGACGAGGTTTTTGGTCGTGGTGTTTTGTGGGACAGTTCGTTGAAAGGAACGTGTGGATGTGGAGATGGAGCCAAGAGTGGTGAGTGGTGATGTGCTTCACTTCATTAACAATTTTCATATGAGGAGAAGAAGGTTTGTGTACATTTGTCACTTGTTGATAACGTGTAGGTGGATGAATGCACTTTGACTGTTCAGACTGAAGTCACATGTCAAAAGATCAGATATGTTTCAGTTTTAGGAGCACATATCCAAGTGTCCTGGGTCACATTTGAAAAAATCTGATCTGTCATTAAAAGATCAGATACAGGTCACATAGGGGCCAAAAAATTGGATTTGAGTCACTTCAGGCTGCAGTTGAACGTAGCTTTAGAGTCAATTTTAGAATTCTTTGATTTACTTTTAAGTGTTTGCACGGCCCAGCGTCCTCCTACCTCACAGACCTGATCCTCCCTTATGCCTCGTCTCGCACTCTCAGGTCAGCAGACCAGCTCCAGCTCACTGTCCCAAAGACTAAACTTGAGCTTCATGAGGCCTGTGTGTTTCCTGTTGCTGCTCCTCGGTTCTGGAACCAGTCTCCATTAGAGATTCAACAGGCCGAGTCTGTACCTGTTTTTAAATCACTCCTAAAAACACCTTTTTTCACTGGCTTTTAACAAGTGACATGTACATTTGTTGTTGTTGAGTAGCTTGTTGTTTTCTATGTTTTTAGCAGTTGTATTGTGTTTGTGTTTGTGTTTTGTGTTGTCCTTGTTTATTCTGTGTTTGTGTGCAGCACTTTGACCAGCTGTAAAGTTTTTTAAAGTGCTTTATAACTAAAGTTGGTCTGGTATGGTAACAGGGGCACTTCAGGGGCCAATCAGATTAGAGGTGGGGCCAGGACCCATGTGGCCCCTCCCCTAGAACCGCCCCTGGAGCCTGGCGGGGGAGCACTGTGCACACTCTAAGGAGAAGACGGAGAAGAAGGAGAAAGACCCTCCGGTCGGGGATGACGTCACAGAGGAGAACAGTCTAAACCTGCATAAACATGTGAATGAAACAAAACACAACTCCAGGTCTGTTTGTGGCAACAGCATAATATGGACTCTTTGAGGACAAGAAAAGCTAAATAAAACACCAGGATCATGTAGCGCAGGTTAATACAAACATCAGAAGGTTAGAATGGCAAACCTGACAACAGTTAGAGAGAGAGAGAGGCGACGGGTTTTCAACAGAGAGTGAATTGGAGTCGATGGAGCTGCAGTATGTCCATGCTCACCTCCCTTTTGGAACACGATGACTTGCAGGTTTACTATGTCCATCTGTATATACACTCGTATCAACGTGCAGTATCACAGTGGCAGAAAGGACGAAGTGTGCAGGACTAAAACATCTTCCTCACTCCTGGTTTGAAAAGGTTCAGGACCTACACTCTTCATCGTTTTGTTTGTCTATTGTCCTGCTTTGTGTTTTATGATATTTTCAAACATATCGTCCATTTCCTCTCATTTGTCTTTAGTCTAGTAGATCTGGATTTCTAGAGTGTTCATGTCTCCACAAACAGATTCTTTCACAGGAAGTGCCCCAGGTTCATTTCTACAGAACACACCCCTATAAACATACTTGGAAATCCTGTGTCAAGATTTCATTTCAGTTCAAAGTCATGATGAATAAGGTTGTGAAAGTATTTCTGATCATTTCTACTGTAGAATTCTGCAGAGGCTATTTGGAGTCCACACAGAAAACTACTGCTAACCAGTTTAACCCTTAGATGCATAAGTGGGGTCAAAAATGAGCCCAAGGGTTGTTATTCTTCAGTATCTTGGAAATTAAAAGTATTTTTATTTTCATATTCTGGGTATTCCTCATAAAACACGTTTGTGACCTGAGGACATAGCATTTTAATTTTTTTTTATTTTTCATACTTTTTAAGGAACTGTAGCTTTTGTATCACTACCCCACTCTTCCATAAGTGGGGTCAAAATGACTACAGACATTTCCTAAGGAATCTCAAGGGTTAGACCTAAAAACGTTTGATTCTTATCAACTGTGAGTGTCAGTTTACATTTACTGTGGCACTTACACGTCTGATGGCAGCAGTCTCACCACCCAGGAGCTCATTTTTACACAGAAACATACTACATGTAAGTATTATCTTCATTTATCAACTTCATTTCCACATTCATGACTTTTCTGTGAAAGAGTATTAGTATTATTGTCATCAAATGTTGTTATCATACTACAGAGTAATTTTAGTACTGTCATGTAGCTCCTGAGCTACAGGTTGGAGTCCCCTGATGTACATTATGAAGAGGAGGGGGCCGAGAACTGAACCAACCACTTGCTAAAAGCATGGTTAGCATTTTGGAAAAACATGCGTTGGCAGCTTTTATGGTAGCCACAATCCAAAGACAATTCATCAGGAACTGATTCAACAACATCTTGCTAACCAGCACCATCAAATGTTTGTGTGTGAAGTTTGTTTTTCATATCATGGATCGCAGTAAATGCACTCAGTGGATCAGCCTTAGAAGACAAAAGTATGAACTTATCATTTACTGTCCTTTTGTAACCATGCAGGCTGTAGTTTTGCAGAGATGCTGAGGTGGAGG